TGATTTAAAATAGGCAAGCTGTCCTCCTGTTACCCCTGCAAAATAGCTTTGCTAGCAATTGTCCAAGCAATCGGACAGTAGCCTTAGAAAGGCCACAATAAGAGGTCTTCAGTCGAGTGGTGTCATATGGTCTTCATTTAGAAGTATCACAAGAACATTACTTCTCACAGTATTTACAAATTAAAAACATATGGCTGTAACCTGTAATACTGCAAGAAATACTGCTCTTTGGGCTTGTTTTTGGCCTCACACTTTTGAAATATGAACCAAGCAAAGGGATTTCAGCTTAATGCATGATTCAGTCCATTCTTCTTCAGAGCTCAAAGTCTGGGGGACAGCTAAAACTTGCATCTGAAAAAAGTGATTTGCCCACAACTATGGTAATGTACTATACTTGGCAACTAGAGTAGCATGTATATCAAAAAGGCGTGGGGGTGGTTAATTAAAGTAATCTACTTTCCATTTAATAATAAAAAAAAAATATTAAACTGGCTTTGGTTCCTATAAAGAGTTTTATAAGTCATATATAAGCCTCTTGCATTTACTATTTAAGTTCAATCAATATGGTTATCTACCTGTCAATTTTTCTTGCTCTTTAATGCAGAAAGAGAGCAGCCTTTTTTATAGCTAGCTCAGAAAGTACTAAGGTAATCAATACATACAGCGATAACAGAATGATTTGAAACACGTAACAGAAGCTTATCACTATGCAGTATACTGAACCCGTCAAAATATTTTCCTAGAAGTAAAGTGAAAATAGAAGTTCTCAATTTTTTATTACTTAAGTGGGTGGTGACATAGATGTTCTAGGTCTTTTGGATTTGTTCCTAGCTTTATATTTTTTTGAAAATTTGGTACACAAGCATTTGCTACTTTGTGAGGCCAATTTTGCAGTGAGATCTAAAAACTCTGCCTTAAGAATCACACATTATCTCAATTGTCCTTCATTTCCCATCCCTAAACATTTATTGGAAATCCATGCATTGTTCTAGAGAACTGCACGTAAGATTTTCCAGGAATACATCTGATGTTCCCACAGACCTTAAAACCCTTTGCTTTACTCAGTACTCAGTAAATTGTGTTCGAGCCCAATCTGAAAAGTACAGGCTTTCTTTCAACTGTCTCCTGCTGAGTTAGTCAATTTGAAATAATTTGTAAGCACCTGATTCCTAGAGGTTTAAATACACATACATGTATCAAGATTTTGGATTTTAATGCAGCAGAGAGAGGATCAGCTGTTATTGTGGTCTCTAACCTCTACTTTTTTGAAGAAATGCATAGGATTTATCTAATTTAACTATGCAATTCTCTTTAAGTGGTAAGTGACAATCATCTGCCATCACACAATGTAAGTAGGTGGAATTCTACGTAATACAAAAGGTCTTTGTGATGTCCCAGGCTTGCCACAATTTATCAAATGTTAAATGCAAGCTCAAAATTAATATATATATATATATATGTAAGTATGTATGTAAATACAGACTAAAGAGATGAGAGTTACATAAGAAAGCAAGAGGAAATAACACTTACAGCTTGAGGATTTCTATCATTTTTTCTATCAGTTTTAGCTCCAGGGCCATTGTTATCAATCTGGTGCATTTCTGCATGTCTGCCTGAAGTCACACGATGGTCTTATAGCCTTCCAGTTCTGAAAGCTCTGCTTCATAATTTCCAAATCTCATAGGCTGGCAAGCCTGGGCGCTGGTGGTTACATTGGGTTTTGCTCAAGGCATCAAACCATAAAATTTTTTACCTTCACCCTTAGAAAACAATACCAGTAAGTAAAACAAAGGAGAAAGGTAAAAGAAATCAAAAGGATCGCGAAATCATAAAGAAATCCTTACAGGACATAACTAAAAGACTACAGAGGCTCTGCTGCTCCTATTTCTCTACCAGAAATGGCCATGCATGGTGCAGACAGGTCTGAACTAGCTCTGTGTGGGTGAGTCAAGGTCTGGAAATCACACAACAGCATCCACTCAGAGGCAAGGATCGGTCCATCAGTGCATAAGTGCTGCTAACACTGCATCCTGACCCTGCCTGGTAAGTCTGTGTGAACTTACCATGAATCTCCAGAAACTCAGCAATCGCTAAACCACAATCCATTGCACAGTGGAGACATGCCAGCAGCGAGGCATTAACAATGTTGTCCACTCCAGAGGAGCTGAAAGATGGATGGGCATCTCTGACGGCAGAATTGGGCCCAGCGAATGAGCAAAGATTCTTAGAGCAACACCTCAAGTGACACAAATTATGTTATAAAATTGATTACTTCCTTACACATGGCAGAATGCTTCCAGGGCACTCAACATCCCATTCCATTAAGCCATGATAAATGAGACCATATTTCCACATCAGTCTGAACTCATCTTTTAAATCTGCTTGTTCAAATATTTGGTTACTTATTCCCCTTCCCCTCCTTTTAAGATAGCAAAAACTGTCTTTTTCTTTTTCAACTTTGCATGTCTTAATAGATGCCATTATTGCAGGACCATCACCTAGGAATTTTATTTCTTCATAGAACTCCTTATCTTAAGACTATGCAAAATTTTGAGAGAAATCACTGAAAAACATTTGGTGTGCAATCTCTACACATACAATCAGCAAGTTGAAAAAAATGACTCAAAGATACAGGAGAGCCACAGAACAAATGATGGAGAAACGCCCCAAAAAAGTAACTCTCCTGCTGCTAGTTTGAAGATCACCACCACCACCTGGAACGGTGTCAGGATGGAAACTTGTGGAGCAGAAGCAAAATTGTTTCAAGCAGATCACTACAGCTCGAGGTGGCTAGGGGAAGGTTCATAAATTGATAAGCACCACCGAAGGATCATAAGCCTCCACATCAATTGTTTAAAGATTACAACAGAGCCACTCACTGCAGTCGTTCTGAAAAGGTTATGGGTTTCACAGGTGTGCACTGTCAGTTCTGATTAAGCTTAAACTAAACCAGTTATCTATAACCTTGGATTGGAAGGAGTTTTATTGCTGAATGCAGGGTAAATCAAATTCAGGGTACACATCTGTGGAAAAACACAGAGGGCCAAAGTTCACAGTCCTGACATAGGCGAAAAAAAATTCAACCCTCCAAACTCAGGAGGAGATTTGCCTGTAAAAGATCCATCAGTCTGGCTATTGTCATATGTTCTGTATCGGAAAGTTATTCATCACCTTAACACAGCTTTGGATTTTCTTTCCCTCTTCAAATTATTGGTTGCTCTTATAATGCAGACTGTTTTAAGATTATCTGCATTCATTTCTAAAGTGCCTAGAGTTTACCATTTATCTGATCATAAATAAAATTAATTATAACCTACACTTTTCACTACACAGGATATAAACTAGAGCAGCTATAGCAACAAATTCACAACGTCATTTTTCACCTGTGTGATTAGGAATCTTTCCAAAAACAATCGTTCACATCATTAGTTTTTAGAGCTACGCAAAAAGACTGTAGGTGAAATCCTGCGCCCAAAAAACATTGCTAACAACTCGATTTCAACAGTGCCAGAGTTTCACTCAAAAATTAGAGAGAGAAAAAATGCATTCTTAATAGTTGATACAAGTTGCAAAAGATACATTCTATTTCCAAAAATAGTTCGTATTAATGCTGCACTTTAAAGTGTTTCTATTGACTCACAGTGTTAATAGATGGCAAAAGTGAAAAAATGTATTTGCTTTTGCAACATCATTATTTCCTTTGCATGCAATTATTTACTTGTCAAACAATGCTAGCGACAAATCGCAACAGACTATGAAGCCATGTACATTAGCAGATTTTTAACCTAAGGTAAAAATAAACAGAAACATCTGTAAAGTAATCTTGTACAAAGCTACGTTTATTAACAAATACATTTTCTAATAAAACACCATCTGCAAGCAACCCTCAGCTTCCACTTGATATAAATAGGCCTTTTACTGTTTTCAGATGCAGTTCCCAGAAAATTATTCCAAGCTCTACTGCAAAACACATCAGTCTTTGTTGCTGCCTGGAATGTTAATAAATAACATCAAGTTTTTAAATAGTCAAACAAATTATTGGCTTGAAACAATTATTCCAATAGAAAAAGCTGACCTTTTGCAATAAAGTGGTTTAAGAATGCATCGCTCTTCGTTCCTAGTATAAAAATATTACTAAGCAGGGAAATATTTTGGGGAAAACAGAAAGCTATGAAAAACCCATATTGCAACTCTGCTCATATGTACAATATAAACCCACCTTGCAAAGGTTACTGCTTTAGAGAAACTCAGAATAAGAGAAAAAGTTTACAGAGTATAAATAGTTCAATTGGTATCCTTATGGTACATCTGTCTTGGAATGAACACGACTACGAACCACCTAAAATGTTCCTCACAGGACTACTGTACTGATCAGCGATACAAAATTCAACAGCTTAAACTGCTGGTAGCAGAGATTGGGACTGAATCCCAATATTAACAGCTCTTCAAAATGCATAAAAGCTTTAATGGGACACATTTTCATAAGCATTACTCAGAACTTAAGCCACATTAATTCCATTAAAAGCAATAGGAATTTAGCAAACTCTGCAAATAAACTCCTTACTGGTAGAACTATTTAGTACCACTGAAATTTGAACACTGCCATTTTTCCTTAGAGTTTTAAACTGCAATCTTTCTATCAAATTGGCTCCTAACTGAAAACGCAAGAGTGAAAACTGCAGATGAACTGAGATAGAGTTCTCTGTCCAGAATTCTAGCTGGTATAAATTTATTACACCCGATAGAGATACAGCTTGCTAGTATTAATCAGAAACAAGCAATACTAATACTCCAAACTGTGCTTTTAAAACTTCCTTAGATATTGGTACTGGGACTATCACAACAACAAACTTTGCCAAAAGTAGTCACGCATATTCTAGAAAAAAGAAATGGTTTTGACTGTAATTCCAGGAAATGGAACAGCATATTTCCAGAGAAAAAAAAATCAGTACATGAAATACTCAAGTGGTACTAGAGAGAAGATATTTTAAACTACTTACTTCACTAACAGGAGGAATGTTGAGCTTTGGTACTTTGTTCTTCGAGCTAGGTGTGTTCACTTTTCCTTCCAGCAGTGTTCCAAAGGACTGATTTCCATATCCACTCTCAATTTCTATGGGAGGTTTCAGTTCAGGCGAGTCATTGGGAACCTGGTCCTGACCATCCATAGGCCTGACATACGCTGTAGGCTTTTGCTGGACCATGCTGTTTTTACAGTGAAGTCCTGGTGGGAAATTCTGGGTCGAAAGACCATTGTTTGCAGATAACAAAGAAGTGGAAGGAAGTGGAGATCCAGGACCATGACTTACAAACTCAAGCTCTGTGGGTGACTTTGAATGACTGTTTTCTTTGTAAGTGTGTTCTCCAGGTGCTGACTTTGAATGAGTATGTCTCCTTGAATGTGAAGATGCTGCCATAGAATTTGCTTCCTCAGTTCCTCCACTTTTATGCTGCTCACTCTGACAATTATAGAGGTCTTCATACCTGCCCTGTGGCTGGTCATGAGAAGAGCTATGCTTTGTCCGACTCTGCTGGCTACTGGATTGGCTTGGCTGGGCCCCACTAGAGTTGTGACCACCACGTGACCAGTCTGTCCTCGACTTCCTGCTGCTCTGGTGACTGTGTAGCAAAGTAGAATTAGATGACAATGACGAAGGTGGAGGCATTGATGTCGATGAGTGGCCACTGATCTGATGAGACGGGATCATCCTGTTTCTTGGTTCTGGGAAAAAGTTCTGTTCATTTTTGTCAATGGGCGTCTGAGGGACAGAATTCTTTGGGATTCCTACAAGGTGGCTCTGGTTGGAATGATTGGTTAACAGGTCCTTCATCTCATCATAATTTCCCAATGTGTTCTGGACACGGTTTGCAAGGGCATCGCCTTTATTTGTCTAAAATATTAAAAAATAAATAAAGGAAAAGACTGAATAAATTCCTTATTATGAAGTTACTGCTCAGAATAGTTGTCTTAGAAGATGGCAAATGTTAGCTGTTTAATGGTGTCATGCTGACATTTAATTTAATTTCAATTACATTTTGCATATGTTATGTAAGAAAAGCCTATCAATAGCTGTGTTCAAAGAATCTCTTGAAACAGGCTTGCATGAGTAACACTTGTATACTGCTTCCCATTTTCTTAAATATGTTCCCAGAGAAGTGTTTAAATTGCATCATTTATGGATGTTAGGAGCAAAATAAGCTGGTTTTATGTCAGAGATGTTGGGCTTGTACATTTCATATCCTGCAAAACGTGAACGTACAATTACCGGCTACAGAGCATCTGAATTGCAATCAGACAGTTTATTTAAGTACGTTATTGCTCTATCAGCCCCTTGACCCATAGTCCTGCCATAAATAGAAGCTGGGTAGTCTGTAATAAACATACAGCACCAAAGTCTTCACTCCAGTGTAACTTCAATTACTTTTCTATAGAAGGTTCAGTTTGACCTGAGATATCTACTATCTGAATCCAGAAAAGAAAAAGCTTCTACCCACTCAAATGCTACAGTAGCGTCAAATAAAAGATCATTCAGAAATATTTTCTTATAGAACATAAATAGACACTATTGCCACATTCTTAAGTATCAGGATTCCTACGTTGTCTGCAGGCTGGTTGTATTTGTGAATCGCGCTTTGCTTTGAATTCCAGTAATTATTAAATAAACAGTATTTCACTGCTATTATACTTTTTCTTTTGAATCAAAGAGTGGGGTTCTTTGGGTTCTTTTTCCTTTTTCCTTTCACTTGTAAAAAGCTGGACAAATAAGCTTGAAGCTACAATTAATATGCAGCTAATTTCCTCCTCTCCCTGTTCTACCTCACCCCACAGAGGCCCAAAGTACCAACCCTCTTACTGATCGTATTGTTCCATTGAAATGACCAGCAGAGAACTAAAACATCTAATTCCCCATGCTTATCACTTTACAAGACTCAAAGGTTAAAAACAAGGCAAAACCGTACTTCCTGTTCAAGTATACTGTTAACCTGGAATTAAATGATGAAGTTGCAGGATGTGTAAGATACTCCAGGATACAGCTAACCATACTTTTACTTATTTTACTCAATACAGCAAGTAGTGCCACTGTCCAAAGATGCCTTACCACCAGTCCATAAAGATAAGGAAAGGCCGCACTATGAGCTTGTGCTTGGTTAGAGGGTGTTGCACTTCATGCCTCAATGAGGGATCCTACCATGTCACTGATCCCATTTTCCTCAAGTATTAAGCAGAAGTTTGAGTGGAGAAAAAAATCCATCCATGGATTTCTCCTGAAATATCTGCTTATATTACCCACTGCTGAACTAGTCAGGAGATGAGAAGAATATTGCAGAAAGATTTTTTTTTCCTTAGTACTGCATATGCCATAAAAAATGTTGAAAAAGAAGATAATAAATGCAAATTTCCTTTTGCTCATTCTCAGGGATTGTAACATATATTACCACTGCACTGAGGCAGTGATTTAAAAATTAACTGTTCAGTGTTGTTCTCATCTATATACATTTTGCCAGTGCTCCTCACTGACAGAGTTAATAACCCCAGTTGTGGAGAACCACGAATCACTTTTACTCACTAACGAAGTCCCTAGGTTGGTCATTTTAGTGGCAAAAATCATATTCCAGCTAAGACAAGAATAGGCTCTTTGTATATGAGCAGTCTCCTTAAACTGAGTTGCACAATGAGCTGTTTGGGCAGCAGCCAAAACCAGGCTTCTCTGTTCAACCC